TGTTTTTGATCAATCGGCCACTTTTCCTGGCCGAGACCTTTTCTTGAGGGAGCTTGACCCTTTTGAACCTTTGTTTTAGCTTCTTGAGGAAGCTTGAACCTTTTTTAGCTTCTCCAAGAAGCTTGACCCTTTTGCTCCAAGCTTCCAAGAGAAGCTTGAACCTTTCTTAGCTTCTTGAGGAAGCTTGACCCCTTTGCTCTAGCTTCCTCAAGAAGCTTGACCCTTTTTGCTTTAGCTTCTAAGAGAAGCTTGGCCCCTTTGCTCCAAGCTTCTAAGAGAAGCTTGGACCTTTGTTCCTCTATAAAAGAGGGCCTCTCCTTCCATTTCAAGGGTTGAAAAATCTGATATATAAAATATATATCACTCTCTCTCTATATCTCTCTCTCTCTCTCTACATTTGTGTGGGTTAGAGTGTTCCAAAGTGAGTTTTTGTTCTTGTTCTTGCACTAGAACACCTAGGAGTACACTACTCTTTGGTTACTAAGGTGCTAAGAATTTGTTTGAGGGGTTTTTGAGCTGGTTTTGATCTAAAGAGGCTGCTGGTTTGGTGTTCTTGGAAGTGGTCTTCAAGGGTAACTCATTTTCCCTCTTTTATTCCCCGTTTTTGTACACACCTTTAGCCTATCTTGCATGCTGATTTAAGCTTAGCTATAAACTGAAAAAGGTTTTGTATTTGCATGCTTTTGAAGTTTGTTTAAGATCACTTTTGGTGTTGGGGGTCGTCTACCCCCTCTTAGGCCTTGTTTGACCTCTTTTTAAGCCTTCTTTGTTGAGCTTCGGGACCACCTTGTATTGGCCTTCTCACCACTGAAATTCAGAGGGATTTCAGTGGTGGGGATGGTGTTTTGAGGTCCTAAGAAGGAGAGGGGTGACCCTCTCCCTTGTTGTCTTGTTTACTAGTATCTTTGGCCTTACAAAGGAGCCCTTATTTGCACACTTCTTGAGCTCAGTTCAGGCATTTTTCAGTGAGTTTTAGGGCCTGCATAACCCCTTTCCATAGTTGGTTTTGCCATGCTAGATGCCCTTCTTGCATGTGTAGAACAACTCCTTTCATGGCCTTTCAAAGGAGCACCTCATTCTTGCATGTATTAGACACATTTCAGTGGGTATTTGGTCATATTTTGGCATGCCATGAATCTTTTTTTGGCTGGTTTGGTGGTCCCTCATATGCTCCATATGCTTGTAGTGTAAACCATGCTTACTAGCTTACATTGCATGTTATTTTAGCTCTCCATTCTAGAATATTTTGACCATGCCTTAAACTGATTTTGTGTATGTTTTGGACTGCCTTAGCTCTGTTTTTATGTTCCATGGTTGAATGGTACTTGCCATGTATGCTTGTAGTGTAATAGCCATGCCTAGTCTTGAGTTTTGAAGCCTATTGCATGCTTATATTGAGGTGTTTGCATGTTTTGGCATCATTGGGTATGATATTTCAGAGCTTATACTTGTTCCATACTCCCATGTTTTCCATGCTTTAAGTGTTATTGAGAATTGTGCTTGTATGCCATGTTACAATGTGTTGTGCATGTTATGTTGTTAGCATTGTGCATGCCATGTCACAACTTGCATTGTGTATGCTAGGTGGTTAGTTGCATTGAGTATGTCATAGTTCATATAGCATTGTGTGTGCCATATAGTCCATAGCATTGTGTATGCTAGGTTGCATGTTTGCATATTTAGGTTGTATGCCTATTCATATTGCTTGCTAGCATACTCATTTTGCATTAGTTTGTTTGCATGCTTAGGTTGCATAGCGTTGAGCATGCATCCCTTGCCTCTTGATCAATCATGATAGAGGTTGGGACCCTTTATGTGTTTTGTACATTTCATTCCATATTGAAATTGTACACTTTGGCCTCTTGGACCATCATGCATTAAAATGTGTGATTGGTGGTTCGAGGGTCGAAGACCAAACTCCCTTGAGTTCATAACATGATGGGGAGGTTGGTTGTGCAAACATTTGCTTTAAGATGCATTGCCATGCCTGGTTTGTCCTCTGCTGCTGTCAAAATAGGGTTCTGTAGGAAGATATGGTTGACCAACCATTTTCAGTGCCGACCGACCAATAATGGATGGCCGAGAGCCTTACAACTGGTCGATGACCACTTTTCCGTGGCCGGTGACCATTTCTCTTAGCCGGTGACCTCCCATAGTGTTCAGGGAGTGTTCCAGAACCGACCTTGGGACTCATACAATTTTCAGAGGCATAAAGCAGTACAAACAGAGGCAACTGTGGCATGACAATGGATTTCCGAGCGGAGCCGAGCATGCATACATTCATCCCTCTCCCCGAGGCTATTTTACTGCTTTCAGTAGCTTAATTAATTTGTCAATTAGTTAGGTGGTTTTGTAACTAATTAATTAGCTTGTTAGTTGATTAATTTGTATTATTCATTCGGTCCCTCCAAGAGAGGGTAAATTGTGTAATAAGCGTGCGTGTGTGTGAGGTATGTCTTCCAACCCCAATTTCTTTCTCCCTTTTATTTACTAGCTTATGATGGTTAGTTTAGGGCATGTTTCAATTAGCGTACTTATGCTCGCATGTTTGCATTCATTCATCTGTCTTGCATGCACCGGGCTCGGCGTATCATGCTAACTGCATTGTATTTCAATTCCAAATTGAATACATGTTATCTGTTGCATTTCATATGCCATCTTAGAGTAGCCGAGCCTATCTTAAGTTGCATTTTTGCATGTGTTGCATTAGGCATCTCAGCATAGTTAGGATTCATGCATGATTTCTAATTAGCTTCTCTTTTGGCTCGGAGTACTCGGTAAGTGTTTATGCTTTAGTATCCTTGCATGCGTGTGAGTACTGCCATGTCAGCATGTTTGCTATGAGGCTAATTGCTTATGTGATATAACTGCCTGAATACCTGTGGGTGAAGGTTGGATTACTTGAATTAGAATAATTCATTAAAATTCATGTTTTAGCCTACTTGCGAGTAGCAAATTTCAAACCATTTCCAAACAAAATGAATATGCGATGCTTTGTTCCAAATTAGGCGATCTAGTCTATACTTGTGTGTTGTGTGCATCACATAGTAATTCTAGCCAATTAATCAGAATAAGAGCGCATGTGTTTTTAAAAACGAGATATCATGTTTAGTAGTGGCCGATCTTTGATTGGGCGAGCAGGAGTGCTCATAGCTGACCTTCCCCAATCGTATCCAAGTTCCCGAGCCGAGGCAACTTTGGTGATGACGGAAGTGTGGCCTTAGGCAACGAGTCAGGGTTTCCTAAATTTTTCAAAAATAAAACATTTAGGTGACGACTCTATATCTGGCAAAGCAGTCCATGTTCGGCATTTCTTTCTAAAAATCTATTTTTCAAAACGATTTGCCAGATTTGGACTCTTTGGTGATTTATCAATCTCACATCGCACATTGCGAGATCAGATTAAGAACCGTGACAATTTGAGTCCGAATTGTAGTGAGCCCCAAATGAACAAAACGGGATTCCCTCCGAGGACGTTCGGGGACGTCTACAGGGGGTCCATTCGAAAGCTTTGCCTTGCCAAAGTGTGTGAAAGAATTGTCGACAGCGATTTGTGGAATGGCTGATAAACCTGTTGAGCGCGGCGGCCATTCCCATCAGCTTCTGAACCTCTTTAACCGACCGAGGAGAACCAAGTTCTAGAATTGCTATGATCTACCTTGGGTTGGCCTCTATTCCGCAGTGGTTAACAATATAGCTGAGGAATTTACAGGATCTGATGCCGAATGCACACTTTGAGGCGTTCAATTTCATTTTGTACTTTCGAAGAATGCCGAATATATCTGCCAAATTGACTAAATGGGCGTGCTTTTCCTTGGATTTGACCACCATGTCATTGATGTATACTTTCATGGTGCGGCCGAGCTGTTCTTTGAACATGATAGTAACCAGTCTCCGGTAAGTTGCCCCCGCATTCTTCAGCTCGAAAGGCATGACCTTGCAGCAATAGGTTCCTCTTGGGGTGAGGAATGCAGTCTTTTTTTTATCCTCCGGATGCATGGCAATCTGATGATAGCCTCTGTAGGCATCCAAGAAGCTCATGCGTTGATGATGTGCCATTGCATCTACGAGTTGGTCTATTCTAGGAACGGGAAAACAATCCTTGGGACAAGCTTTGTTTAAATCTGTGAAATCCACACAAACACGCCAAGATCCATTCTTCTTCTTTACAACCACGGTATTGGACAACCATGTAGGATAGGTTACTTCGCGAATTGCCCCGACATCATGCTCCGTGGCTAACTGCTGACTTTTCTGAATGATTGGCTTACATTTTGGATCAACGTTTAGGCGGTGCTAGGCCACAGATGGATCCACCCCTGGAATCTCGTATGGTGTCCACGCAAACACGTCGAGGTTGCTGAAAAAGAAGGATACAAGCTCGTGCATGTCAACTTCGTTCAAGGAAATACCGATCATGAAGAACTTGTCAAGACTCTCATTAATTTTGACCCGATCTAGGTCTTCAGTTGCCTTTTTGCTGGGAATCTTCCTAATGTCCTCGAGGCTCTCCTAATCCGGTACTGCAATTGAATTCACTTCTAGTTCTTTTGGTCTCTTTGCTGCAACAACAAGGTAGCATGCTTGTGCCGATTTCTGAGAACCCCAAATTTGTTCAATGCTATACTTAGTTGAAAAATGAAGTAATTGATGGTAGGTTCTTGGTACAGCTTGCATGGTATGTAACAAAGTTCTTCCCATGATGAGATTGTATAGTGACGGAAGTTTGATAATCAGAAATTCTACATCTACTGATCTGGTGCCCGCCCGAACTGGTAGTGTGATCTTGCCCAAAGGATACTCGGGGTTAGCGTTAAAGCCGAATAATGGGTAATCGGCCGGTGACAAATCCAAGTCAGTGAAGCCGAATTTAACAAACGTTTTATAGTACATTACTTCCGAAGTGCTTCCCTGATCAATGAGAACACGTTCAATGGTGAATCTGTTCACGCGTAGCTCGATGACGAGGGGATCAGTGTGAGGGAGAGTTACTCCAACTAAGTCGGTGTCATTGAAACTAATCCTCCCAGTTTCATAAGGTCGTTTTGCTGGTGTGATTGGCCTATACAGGCTAGGTTGCAACTGACTTGTATGTACCTCGGCTGACGACGGCAGGCTGTATATCATGTGAATTACACCAAGTGGAGGTGAATCCGGCTGTAGGGCTACCGTGTTTGATGGATTATTCTTTCGGACGTGTTACGCTAGCCGACCGTCTTGTACCAGCTCCTCCAGGTAGTCCTTTAGTGCATAACAATTGTCGGTGTCATGACCATGGTCGTTGTGGTACTCGCACCGTTTATCCCTTCTTCTTGTATCGAGAGGTCCAATCATTTTGGGCGGCCAGTTAAAGAACGGAAGATGTTGAACTTTCGACAAATTCTTGCTGATCGCCTCTGCTAACTCCGTGTACTTGTTGTCCGAGCGTCTTGTGCGCCTACTATCCACTTGATATTATTTATTTGATCGGTGTGAACACTAATTGCTTGACCGATTCCGTGGTTCGGGGCTCCTTGACGGCATGATGGTTAGTGGCTGAACAATTCCAGATAGAGCCGTCTCAACGGCTTTGTGTCCAGCTTTGACCCATAGGGCATCATCTTTCACCTTACAATATTCTTTGACTTTTTTCATTAATACCCAAACTGTTTTGGGGGGCCGTCTAGTCAACGAATTGCGAAGGGGACTATCAGGATATAATCCCATTTCAAAGGCGGTGATGACCATGGAGTCATTACAGGCATCATCTACTAGGTTAAAACATTCCCAATAGCGTGCTGAATATTCACGAAAGGTTTCTTTTGGTTTAATTTGCATTGCCTAGAGAGAATCGGCTTGCTTTGGCTAGATTTCATTGGTGATGAATCTTGCCCTGAAGGATTTTTGGAGTTAATGGAAGCTTTTGATCGATGCCGGCTCCAGTTTATAGTACCATCTGACAACCAGTGGTCCCAGACTGCTCGGAAACATTCGACACATGAGGGCTTCATCGTTAGCATACAATGTCATTGCTTGTTTATAATGACGAATATGGTTAGTGGGGTTTGATTTTCCATCATACAGGGTGAACAATGGTGCTTTGAACTTCTTGGGTAGCACAACCCTTGCGATGAGTCGCACAAAAGGGTTATGCTTGTCTTTTTAATCCGAATCATCACTTCTTTTCCCTTGTTTGTGCTATACATACAGACTTCCTTCAGGTGAGTTGGATACATCAACTCGTCCCTTCTTTCTGGGTTCCTGGGATGGTAAGTTAGAATCACTGTCATTATCGTATTTCCAAAGTTGACGTCGTCAATCATCCGTCTTTCCTAGGGCTCGAACCCGGTCATGGCATGCGGCATGCGGCATGTTGGGACTTGGCTAGCTCCAGGGCCAATTCTTGGCGCAGGCGCTCGTTCTCAGCCATCATATTTTCCAGACGCTGTTCATTCTGCTTGGCTTGATCCACGATTGTCTGTATTGTCTCTTGCACCGAAGTTGAGGGTGAGGTCTGGGCTATTGAGTCGAAGTTCAAGGCCCGTCGTGCAATGATATTCTCCGATCCAAGCATGTTTCTTGGAGTGATGTCATCTCTTAGCGTAACGACGTTAGCGACTACCAGAGGATCATCTGTTACGCCCTCTATGGATATGCTTGAGTATTCCCACAGACAGCGTCCATTGTGGAGAAGTGGTTTGAAAATACTCCAGGATCCAATCAAACATCCTTGATCCTCTGATTTCTACCTGAAAAATGGATGAACACTCCGATCGAGGGTTCTAGAATTAGCACTCCGACGGACAAGTTAGTATGCTCTCAAGTTTACTTCTCTCTCAAGTTATTTCTTGTTTCCTCTATTTTCACATACCTTTCTTTGGTTGACGTTCCTCTTTTGATATTACCCTTTGGGCCCAAGGGTCAGACCCACTGTTAATCTCGCACTTGATTGGTTACTCGGCCTTCTGGTTGCGTGTTGGTTCCCATTCGGCTCTTCATATGGCCGATCTGTATATTTGGCTTCAAGAGCCCTTAGATTGTAGCCAAATTGACTTCGGCCAGATGTCTTCAAATATCTTGGCCTTCTTCCAAAAATAAACCTAAATAATATAAAATTATTTTTAATATTTAAAATTGGACAGACCAGATTGGATTAAGCCAAAATATATGGAGAATATTAATTTTGTGGCGCAAAACTAGACTATTTGGCATCTCCTAGCACACTTTTTATCTTTTTACAGTCATATTGCTTTTTTATTTTTTTGTACATCTTTTCGTAACAAGTCAAAAAGTATAATTATTTAAATCATCCCATACAACCCCTTAGGCTCCATTTGGTTTAATTTTGAAATTCATTTTGAAAAATAAGTTTTTTTAAAAGAGTTTTGAAAATTTAAAATCCATTTTGATTATGAGTTTTGAAATTAGTTTTTGAGGTATATATTTTGAAAGTAGTTTTAGAAATGTACAAATTGAAAACTTGTTTGGTTAAAAGTTTTTAAAACTAGTTTTTAATTATAATTTTTTTGGGTCTTGTATTTTTTTTTTGGTCTTATTGTCAAAACTCTTTACATTATTATAGTCAATTTTGTTTACTTCTTTTACATAAGTGATCAAAACTTTTAACAATATTATAGTCAATTTTATTTTTATTTATATTTATATTTTTTATCGTTATATATTTTTGTTTTTATTTTGTTTACTTCTTTTATACACATAATCTAAATGTACTTTGTAAATAGATATAATATAATCTATACGACAGAGTTTTATATATATATATATATATAAGTTTGTAAGAACGTTTTTAAAATTTTAAAATTGCTTTTCTAATTTATATCCACTCAATTTACATACATTTAAAACATTTCATATTTATTATTTAGTTTTTATTTTTTCACATTTTCTTTATTGTTTACGTATATTTTTTAAATCGCATATATATATATATATATATAACGAAACAAATTATTTAGTTAATACTTAAAACCAACATAACATTTCACATTGATCAATCGAATTTAACTTATTTTGCTCGCTAAATAGAAAATTAATTTTTAATTTATTCGAAATAACAAATCATGTTGTTTCAATTTTTTCTATGATGACTATAGTTTACAATACAAAGTTTCATCAAACATAAATAAATAAAAAAATAGGATAGATTACTGTTGGCTGTATAATTTGTAAAAGCCAATTGTAGAGTAAAAGCCAATTGTAGAGTGACATGTGGCATGCAAAGGGCAATGGGAGGAATTAATGCAAGTCTCCAATCAAAGACAGACATGTGGCAGTTCGTATTGGTAGTATCGAAACTACGTAGCACTGGAACAGTCGAGAGATGCAAGATGATGTGCCCTAACGGTTACTCAGAAATTTAAATTCAAAATCAGAAGAGAAACTTATTTGCAAAGAGTGGCGTAGTGGGAATGATTGCGAGAGAACATGATCAACAATCATGGGAGGACTATTCGACGGTTGGAAGCCCACTTCGACGGTTATCATTGAAGAGTATAAATAGCAAAAAAGGCTTCAGACTGAAGGATGTCATACCTCAAAATTTGGACAATTAAATATTAAATTAGGACTAAACCCCAATCAATATTCCATCATCCAAATCCTAGGGGTGAAACAAAATCTAAACGTTCTCATCACCATAAGGTTTATGTAAATTTCTATGCACAAAAGATTATAAGGGATAAAGAAAAACTAACAAAACGCCAACCAAATCATCCACCATAATTTTATAACTATCCAATACCTCCAATATTAAGTTAACAATAAATAGTCAAAACAGCTTAAATAATGTAAAGTTACAAACCATGACAAATTATCGAAATACTAAGGTCATAAAAAAATAAAAATAAATACATAAACAAATATCAACCCTAAGCTCAAGAAACAAAAGAAATCCAAGCAACATGTCCAACAACTATAGTTATTTCTCATCACCATCGTAGTCCCAACTAATCCTGCCAAGGAAGCTCGACTGTGTTCTAACAGAATGCACTCGAGATGCCAAAAGACAAAACGGGTCAATATACAAAAATACTGGTATAAGTACAAGATGCAACACCCACGTGTCCACCAGACACAAACAAAAGTACATTTAATTTTTGTTATAGGACAAGACAAGTAGTTCCATCCGCACCAAGACGAAGGGATAGTTTCCCGAAATATGGTAGCATTTAGTTTCTTGCCCGTACACAACTAAATATAAATTGAGTATAAAATAAACAAAATAAAAATAAAAATATGGTGGGTTAGCCCTGCACAAAAATTTAGTAAGACTCACCATTATGCAAAAAATAAAGTTAGTATAATTTAATCATAAGTAACTTGCTGAAGAAGTATAAAAATGCATCATTTCATACTTAAATAATTCGAATTGAAAAAAACTCAAAGAACAAAATTCATATAGAATCAAATTTCCTAAAAGGCAATGTGTACGAATTTAGTATAAACTGAACAAGTTGAGAGAAGAACTTGATAGAAGAACCTAGACGGAATTCAACCGAAAAATCTAAAGCTGAAAACGAAAAAAACTGCCCTAAGATGATTTTTTTCGGAAAAGTTCAAAACACGAAAAGTGTGCATAATGATGTTTTACTTCAGTTTACACGAAACCAATAAAAATGAGCTCTTTTCGTGGGTTAAAACAACATCTAAAATCTGCATTGCTAAAATGAACAAAAACTGTGGTAATCAAGATCATCTGATTACAAAGTTCTAATCAATATTTTTAATAAAAACTAAAACACAAAGTTTTCTAGAATTACATATACATGCCTGATGTAGGCCGAATGGTACCACATTGAAGCCATTTAAGTTACATTTTTAGTCTTTTAATTTTATTTATTTGGTGGAGATTATGTGTTTCGTGCACTTGTACAGATTTGGCAGGAAATATGAAAATTCAATCAAAAAGGACACGAAAGCAGATTCTCCGAGCGAGAAGTGAAGAATCCGAGCCAGCCAGACCACCACACGTGCGTTCAAGCCTAACCGCACGTGCGGCCCACCACCACTCGTGCGGCCCACATGGGCGCTCGTGCGGCCCATCTAGGAATGTGTGCACAAAATTTTTGGTCTGTTTTACTCCGAATAAAAGATAGAAAAATAGCCAAAATGAGGGTTCAAAAATTAAT